GCTCAGTCATCTTCTCAGCTAACCTTGTTAACCACCAGAGTGCTTCAGCAGTATGTCGCCAAAGCTATAACACTTGAGAGCTTTTTTAAACGGAAAGCAAAAGCTATGCTAGCGTAAGCGTCTCCAGGCACCATTAGAGCGCTGAAGTGTGACGGCATACTGGCTGTTGACCTTGTTCCCGTGTTCATTTCACCTCTGGGGAATCTTTCTCTCAAATCAGCACCTCAGGTATAGAAACCTCAGGTGCAAGAAAATCATTCGAAAAAAAAAAAAAAATATATATATATATATATATATATATATATATATACACTGCTCAAAAAAATTAAAGGAACACTTTTTAATCAGAGTATAGCATCAAGTCAATTAAACTCCTGGGATATTGATCTGGTCAGTTAAGTAGCAGAGGGGGTTGTTAATCAGTTTCAGCTGCTTTGGTGTTAATGAAATTAACAACAGGTGCACTAGATGGGCAGCAATGAGACGACCCCCAAAACAGGAATGGTTTTACAGGTGGAGGCCATTGATATTTTTTCCTTATTCATTTTTTCTGACTGTTTTTCACTAGTTTTGCATTTGGCTAGGGTCAGTGTCACTACTGGTAGCATGAGGCGATACCTGGACCCTACAGAGGCTGCACAGGCAGTCCAGCTCCTCCAGGATGGCACATCAATACGTGCCATTGCCAGAAGGTTTGCTGTGTCTCCCAGCACAGTCTCAAGAGCATGGAGGAGGTTCCAGGAGACAGGCAGTTACTCTAGGAGAGCTGGACAGGGCCGTAGAAGGTCCTTAACCCATCAGCAGGACTGGTATCTGCTCCTTTGTGCAAGGAGGAACAGGATGAGCACTGCCAGAGCCCTACAAAATGACCTCCAGCAGGCCACTGGTGTGAATGTCTCTGACCAAACAATCAGAAACAGACTTCATGAGGGCGGCCTGAGGGCCCGACGTCCTCTAGTGGGCCCTGTGCTCACTGCGTTGCACCGTGGAGCTCGATTGGCATTTGCCATTGAACACCAGAATTGGCAGGTTTGCCACTGGCGCCCTGTGCTTTTCACAGATGAGAGCAGGTTCACCCTGAGCACATGTGACAGACGTGAAAGGGTCTGGAGAAGCCGTGGAGAACGTTATGCTGCCTGTGACATCGTTCAGCATGACCGGTTTGGTGGGTGGTGGATGGTCTGGGGAGGCATATCCATGGAGGGATGCACAGACCTCTAGAGGCTAGACAATGGCACCCTGACTGCCATTAGGTATCGGGATGAAATCCTTGGACCCATTGTCAGACCCTACGCTGGTGCAGTGGATCCTGGGTTCCTCCTGGTGTACGACAATGCCCGGCCTCATGTGGCGAGAGTATGCAGGCAGTTCCTGGAGGATGAAGGAATTGATACCATTGAATGGCCCCCACGCTCGCCTGACCTAAATCCAATAGAACACCTCTGTGACATTATGTTTCGGTCCATCCGACGCCGCCAGGTTGCACCTCAGACTGTCCAGGAGCTCAGTGATGCCCTGGTCCAGATCTGGGAGGAAATACCCCAGGACACCATACGTCGTCTCATTAGCAGCATGCCCCGACGTCGTCAGGCAGGCATACAAGCACGTGGGGGCCATACAAACTACTGAGTACCATTTTGAGTTGCTGCAATGAAATTTCAGCAAAATGGACTAGAATGCTGCATCATTTTTTCACTTTGATTTTCGGGGTGTCTTTGAATTCAGCCCTCACAAAACAAAAGCTGGACAGAAATTAGTTCATCTGAGTGTCCTAGGTTTTCCACTGCTACTGAAAATAAACTAAACAAATTAAATCCATCAGATTATTTAGACATAAAAACCAGTGGAATTTGGTTAGAACATTGGGAGCTCTTAGAGAGAGGAAATAGCCATGCCACCCTAAACCACATCTCAGAAATGTGACGTCAGAAAGGCAGCAGAAAGAAGGAAAGTTTGGGATCTGGTGGACCGGCTGCTTTAAAGTTTTAGTGCGGTTTCGCAGCAACTGGCATGGAGTTTTTGTTACTGTTACAACAGTAACATGCCTGCATTCAGCATAAACCAAATTTATCATGCTCAACAGAGCTGGAACAGATCCTGGGGCAGCTGTGGCACTGTTTTTCATTCCAAGCTGCAACATTTCTTGTCATTGGGAAACTGACAGGAGACGAGAAACACAGAACCGTTTGGGGCGAAATCTCATTCCACAGCAGGAGCAAAACAACAGAGTAATGACACACACTGATAGTCTGCACAACATCCCCATTCTGACTGTGTACTTTTTTTGTCCAATTTCGATTTCTCACAGAAATTTTCTGCCATGCAAACAAACTGAACATAAGGACTCTTAAACAACCAGCTTGTGCCCCTAGAATGCACTGCTATGCTTTTTCCTTAACTAATCACACACCCTAAGAAAGAGAAGAAAACTGAAGCGGACCCATTTGGCACAGATCTCTGCAGTAAACAGAATAACACGAAGCATACCCACTTCTCGAGCCTGGAGCGCAGTAATAAGGTTGCCTGACCCCACCCACATCCCTTCGCACACTAATCACAATAATTAGAGGTCTGAAAGATGCACAGATCAGTGACGTGAATCCCGCACGCTAGCACCTTAATGAAAAGCTAACTACAGAGTCGAAGCAGACGGTGACCACACAGGAACTTGAAGTGCTAAGACACAAGCAAAGCATGTTTTTCTTTGTGGTTTGTGAGCATGCACCGCATAGTTACAATCGCCGTCTGGCCTGGTGGCATGTTTGCCTCATCCAGGCGCATGCACGCGGATATTTAGACATGTTTATAGTGGATGCTCTAAGGGAGGTGATGTCAGCCTTGTGTTTGGGTTTACTGTCATGAAACCATAAAGCAGACACAATTATATTATATAATATCCACCCTGAGAGGAGACTTCAGGCAGGTTATTCAACTAAATTAAACCACAGACAATAGCTAATCACAAGACTGCAGGAAACAAGACAAACAATAAGAACTCTTGTCTGTTTTGAAGAAGTTGAAGTGAACGTAGATAACAGAGATGTAGGTCCTGAGAACTGGTCCAGCTAAATAAAAGACACGGGTGTCTGCTCTGATCACTGTGAATGCACTCAGTTCGCTGGAGGCACTTGTGGAAACCCGAGACACACAGCTCCAATGACACATTTTTTAAGACGCATCAAGCTCGAAGACACCGGCCTCGGGCACAACAATGACGGAACAGAAAGAAAATCTCAACACGTCTCTGACAGACTGAGGAGAAGATATAAAGAGGATACAAACCCAAAAAAGTATACCAAAAAAATAAATAAATAAATAAAACAAGACAAAATGCTACCGAAAAAGAAATTAAGATAAGTTTAACGTGCTGATAGAGAGAGTTGCAAAGAGGAGTAAAGCAAATGGAGTAGCGAAACAAGAAATCCTAACAGCATGGGGCCAGCTAGAGAACGTTCACATGCTTTCCCAGTTCACCTCTGCTTTAATGGACATAGCTGGAATTCCTGGCTCTCTCTCTGTTGTAGCTCTGGGATTCTTTCCAGTGAACAGCACAGAGCTGAGGCCTGCAGCTCACCAAACACCCCACTGCTCTCACACACTCCAAACTCTCCTCTACAGTGCCCACTGACCCTGTCACGGCTCACCTCTGAATTAACATCAAAAAACCAAAAGCAGCAGAGGAAACATACTGATCTGTTAAGATTTCACAATAAATCACATTCAAACTAAATACCTCTGAGTAAATACCTCCGAGTAAATACCTCCGAGTAAATACCTCTGAGTAAATACCTCCGAGTAAATACCTCAGAGTAAATACCTCTGAGTAAATACCTCTGAGTAAATAACTTGGTTTGGAGTAATAAAAGATTTGAGGTCACAGGATGTTACTTTAGGAATAAAACACAACGAGGCATCCTGTTATAAGGAAATAATGAAGCAATATTAAAATAATGAAGCTCAGAATTATATTATTTTCAAACTCTGTGTGTTCTAGCTACACTATATGGCCAAAAGTATGTGGACACCTGACCACTGAACATCCCATTTCAAAACCATGGGCATTAATACGGTTGGTCCCCTCTTTGCTGCTATAATAACCTCCACTCTTCTGGGAAGGGTTTCCACTAGATTTTCAGCTGTGGCTGTGGGGATCTGCCCGTTCAGACACAAGAGGCCAGGCACTGATGCCCGGCAAGAAGGCCTTGCACGTTCCAGTTCATCCCAAAGGTGTTCAGCGGGGTTGAAGTCAGGGCTCTGTGCAGGACACTCGAGTTCTTCCACTCCAACCTTGTCTTTATAGACCGCACTTTGTGCACAGGGGCATTGTCATGCTGGAACAGGTTTGGGCCTCTTAGTTCCAGTGAAGGGAAATTGTAAAGCTACATTATACACAGATATTGTACACAATCATGTACTTCCAACTTTGTGGCAACAGTTTGGGGAAGGAACACATATGAGTGTGATGGTCAGTGTTCACAAACTTCTGGCCATTTTTTTTTTCAGTTCCTGTTTTTCTCTCTCGAGGCTCTCTTTTTTCTTTAAGTTAATACATGGAATTAAACTTGTCTCAAAAGCATTGAGAAAGCGTTGTTTCTGTAACTGTATGTTGTTCCTGTAACTGTATGTTGTGTGAGGTGACGATGTTTTATGTAGCACCAAGGGTTCTGGAGAAACGTTGTCTCATTTCACTGTGTACTGCGTCAGCTATATATAGTTGAAATGACAATAAAAGCCTCTTGACTTGACTTGACTTGACTTGAGAGAAAAAAAACACAGCTTATTATGTTACAGGAAAACCGGAATGTCACCTGTCCTGGAGACCTGAAGACTCAACGGAAAACTTACTGACCGTTACAAAACGCTGACACCCGAGACTCCTTCCATAAATGTTAAATACATTTCACCTGACAGAAAGCTTCATCATATCAACGAATATATATTGTTTCTCTGTTCAATAACATCACCTTCTTTAATCTGTTTAGTATTAGTCTGAGCTTGGTTCCCTGGTGGACTAGTGGCTAGCATGGGGCGCTCTCATCGCCATGGTCCGGGTTCGATTTCCGCTCAGGGAACCAAGCCCAGCCACTGGAGGGCTGCATGAGCCGGTGCACTCTCAGTGCCTGTCCCAAGCACGGAAATGGGGAGGGTTGCCTCATAAAGGGCATCCGGCATAAAACTTCTGCCAGAATCAATATGCGGACGAGTGATCCACTGTGGCGACCCTGAACCGGAGCAGCCGAAAGAGATGAAAAAAAAAATCTTAGATCATGTTGATCATCTGACATCCCCGTGAATTACCATAGAAACGATAACATAATTAATATAAACCTATCATTTAAGTTATAGCCAGAACTACTGTCAGAGTTGCTGTTACAGAAAATTAATCAACACCTTCCAACCAATCAGATCTGAGAACTGACCAATGCTGCGATATAATGTTATCCAACAAACAGTTGGGTTATTCGGTCACCTGTGCTGTTAAGTAAAACACACCAAAACCATGATTTCATCCTCAATGAGGACATAAGAAGTGATAAAAATATTACACTTGACCCAGTTCTCTCTTTTTGAGTCCTGAGTCACTAACAGGCCAAACAAAACACCTTTGAAATTTTTTAGATTCTCTATAGAGGCCTGAATGAATCATTTAACACAAATGTAACAACCATTCCCCTTCTCCTGACTGATCCACTTCCTGCCAGCAAAATCCGCCCCATGCTGATGTGACCTTGACTTCCAGCTGTTGCCAAATTTCTGACCCTTCCTCCATCTGTCATAGTAGTTACTACTCCATCCAATCTCTCCTTCATAATTAATCTCCTAGAGACAAATGTAAAACCATTTTTCCTTTTTTAAAAATGTGTTCACTAAACAGCTACCATACCACACCATCCAGATTTCCTGTGCGAAGTATAATAAACATGATAATTAAAAATCATCCTGAAGTGAGCCATTTGCTCTGTTTGGGGATTAACACTGGCATTACACTTGTGGAAATAAAATGTAACCTCCAGTGCTCAGAGTAATACCTCTCAAAAACGAGAAGAGAAACATCACTGCAGAAACAAAAGTGGCAGTGTGGGTGACAGGTACATGAAGTGGATCTATCATTTAGCACTTATGTGTTCGACTGAGCGGGGTTTTTGCGATAAATCATATTTTTTTACACAGCAAGATGTAAAGAATGCATCAGTGTTTCTGACAGGATAGTCACAAGCCCTCATAACACCCCACACCCCATAACAGGAACCCAAACTGCAAAAACAGGCTTCTAGTAGATTCTGTTTCAGTCTTTTGAAAAGCTTTAAAACACAAAGCAATACTAAATCCTTTCTTTCCTACTTGAAAAGCTGCCAAATCAAAGCACGTCTAATCAGGGCTTGGACTGGCTGCTTGGATTAGAATGATGAATTAAACTGAGGTATTACAACTTTAGTTGAACATTAGTTGATAGAGCTATTGTTACACTAGGTATGCGCGTGGTTATAAAATTATCCAGATATTTTTCATTTTCTTAACTGGGTCTTCAAATAAGGCATATGTGTTGTGGAACAGAAATGAAATGAATTTTACTCTGTACAGTTTTTTGACTGAGTGTGTGATGTAGAACCACAGAGAATGTCAGCACAGAAGCAGCTGATGATGTTGCGTCTCATGTAGCGTGAATTGGGAACTTCTAAGCCCACCTAATTATATTATGAATCTAGATTAGCTACTTCCGTCTCATTGGAGAACGTTTTTTCGACAGCAGAATTTATCGCTAACAGTTCGTACGATACCCAGTGGTGTTTACTGACAATCATATTATATTACCAGTCTTGCCAAACTTTCTGCGTAGAAGCTCCACAAAAATATTGGAGTATGCAAGTATGAATTATCACTCAAAAATCAGAAGCCAAAAGAAGAGTCTTTTCCTCCTTAATAAAATAAAAGATGAGCCGATCAACATGTGAATCTGGAAGGATTTGTGTAGGTGTTTTGAACTCTCCCGGAAGCCCCACCCCCTTCCCCTGATCTCGTCTCGTGCGGAGATGCTCACGTGGGTCAATATAAATGGAGAATGTTTTGATTTTATTAATGTGAAATAAAATCTATCGGTGTACGTTCAACGTAGCTAACATTAGACAAGTATAGTACTGTGCAACAGTATAGTACTATTGTTTTTTTAGCAGTAATTTTGTTATAGATGTTTATTTTATGACTTCTGCATTACAGAGTCAGTACAAAAACATTATAAGATCAAAAATAATTTTTCCAACAAAGATATTACGTTACAGAAAAAAGGTTGTATGTATACGGTACTGTATATATTTAACGTTGGTTTATTATCAACACTGAGCAGCAGCAACAGAGAAAATGTCAGCCATTTGGACATTAGACAACTGAACTATAAAAGGATTATATCGAAATGAGATGTTAGGGTTTTTTTTTAATTTAATTTAATTTTTTACAGTTTACTGCCTATAACTGCAGAATCGCTTAAAAATCCACCATCCAGCTGAGTTCACACTAGTAAGCAAGAACATGACAGAAAACGCTCATTTTTCCATGTACGTGACACAGAGCCACGATTACAACCACAGTGTCTAGCTCTAAGTGACAGCTTGACAGGAGACATTTCGATTGCGATTTTCTCGATTCTATGCACATTAAGTTTGCTGCAGTACAGTGACAAATCCAAAAAACCGACTCGAACGATTCCTCGGATCAACCCCGTAGCAGCACTTGTGATTTGATATTAATTCAATCCCCCATTTACAGTTTTAGTTCCAAGCTGCAATCAGGTCCCACTTATTGTCAGATGCACAAAAATGGAAGAAAAGCCTACCGTGGTTTCATTTTACCCTGCCATATACAGTAGGTGCTTTCATTCAATGTGTGTAGAAAAATTAAGTCGAAAAATAAAACTTGGAAGGACGGAGTAGAGATCGTTAGTGCTTCTGGTGAGTGTACTTAACTAGCACAGTAAGCTTGCTTCGCTAGTCTTCTAATTAGGCCTAGCATTGTAACAGGTATATCGAACATCCAGTTTTAACACTGATTAGGTGAAAAAAAAAAAAAGTGTAACTAGTTAGCATGAGCAGCAGTATATATATATAGCTACTATTTTTCGCATCATAAGACGGTACACGCCAACAGTAGCGGTTGCTACACGCCCACAACAGGCAAATCCAAGTGACATGAGTGCTAGTCTAATGTAGGGTTACAGTCATAACAGTATAAAATATTTGAATATTTTGGCATTTGAATATTAATGGTTTAAAATGTGGAAAGCTAAAAGGAAGAGCAAAACTACTTCAATTGCCCATCTCTGTCATACACTATTTTGCATGTTCAAATTATTTCCGATCAGAAATGGCCCACCGTGTGTTTAATAGTCCACATCAGATAAACAGCCCTTACCAAAAATGGTACAAATCAGGTGTGTGTGTACAGGGGTGCAGGAAGATCTCAGCCCTGCATGCCATTCTGCTAGTTCATTCTCTGGTGACGGGAAGAGACCGTGCTTCTCACACTCCCCTGTGAGGCTAATTCTACACTGATGAACCATTTCATGCTTGTAACCAGACCCTTTGAACCAAAAGCTCACAATCCTCTAGGCTGAGTTTGAATCTGTGTGTGTGTAGATCCAGCCCACACACTTCATGGATCTTCCCATTACATAAAGCATTTTTATATAGACAATGAACTTTTATAGGTATACACATTTTAAGAAAAATAACTAAATAAAGCTTACCGAATCAAATGAATTTTAGTACACGAACCGAAACAAACTAAACATGATATGGAGAGAGTGTGATAAAGAAGCAAGAGCACTGTGCTCTGGCTTAAATGCAGTTTATGGTACTATGGTCGTGTTTAAAGACTATGGATGAAGGGTGGGCGTCAAGCCCAGACTGGATCACACCGACAATGCCAGCTGCTGGTGTGTATGTGTGAGAATGTGTGTGATCTCACCTCATCCCTTCAATTTCCCACCATCTCAGATATAACTGAGCTCATGGGTCAGTGAGAAAAGTGGGGAAGGGTGAATTCAGGGCATACATTCAGAATTCATACAAGTTCCTCATTAGGGTAAAGTATTTTCTGTTCTAGCACCAGCCTCTGAATAGGAAACAGTTAAAAAACTGTTCAAAAAAGACAAGAAAAATGATGCCAAAAGTAAGGAGAACATAAATGTGAATCATTTGAAGAAGTCTGATTGGTAAAGATTAGCTATTTTCATTTCCACGCATGGTTTATCATCTTCCCTGTATCTTGGATTAACACTGTAGGAGTCATTTTACGACAGGTCACCTAGAGAGATAAGAATATTCAACACTACATCTATGACAAAACAACATGGGTTGTTTTGAATGTATACCAAGATAAAAAAAAATTGTGGCTTTTCTGAAACCAAAATGTGTTCTAACTAATGCTTAAAAGACATGTCACAACTTAGCCATTTACTAGAATGTTTCAGTTAAAGTAATAGCACTTATGCAAATCCAGGATGAGCCACATCCTGGCGTTTTGTGTGTGTGTGTATGTGTGTGTGTGTGTGTGTGTGTGTCTGTGCCTGTGTCAGTTTCTCTTTGCATAACAATACCTGTGGAAGTAGTATGAGAATGTCAGATGACGACTAGTGATAGACAAAAGTAGGACAATACCATTCAAATTTCAAGAAAGTTTTTTCTTGGAAACAAAATAAAAACAATGTCAGGATGAACTATTAGGCACTAGACACAGCATGTCTGTATTAAAGGCAGAGTGTGCCCCAGACACAGCCAAGTGTCAAACTACGTTATTCTTAGTAAAAATAGAGACATGCTGGTATGCGATCACACAATACTAACACAATAAAATGCAAAAAAAAAAAAAAAAAAAGAAATTGTGCATTTTCTGAAACTGAAATTGTCAAACTGCGTTTTATTGCGCACGAAGATCAACGGGTACGACGCACAACACCACTATGTTCAGATCCAGCTCACCTTCAAGATGCATTATATGTGGATCACGCATAAGAGATATCAGCAACACGAAAATAAAAACAAATCAAACATTTAATTGTATGATAAAATTCATCACAATT